TTTGAAGTTAAAGCATACTTTAGCTAAAAATAATTTTTAAAGATTATAAAACCTTTCCACGTTGTTATTATTCATTTATAGCTATTAGAAATAATCTAAAATTTAAATATTAGAAATTAAAAATTATCTAGCTATTAGAAATTATCTAAAATCAAGTTTCGGGTTTGGGTGAAAAAGTTCGGGTCTCCTGTCATAACAAATTTAACTATTACAATTATTTCCATGGTGGTTTTTCCTATACCTTTTGCGGATTATATTTTTGTAGGATAAAGCTTGCTTTCACAAAATATCTTTTTTTTAAATTCAAAAGATCGAGTCTATCACAATTTTAGATAATATGTCGGTACTAATTTTATTATAAAATGAATGGGTTTGTTAATAAATAGATAATAGCATATAGGCTCTCTGAAAGGCATCATATTAGCTCAATGCTTTCTAAATCTACTTTAATTGCCAATTTGATGTAAATTGCATCCAAAAAATTACAGATGATCTCTCCTGGGAACGTTTAACTCATTTCATACTTGAATAAATCTATTGTTTAACTAAAAAATAAATAATATTGTGTTAATAATTAATCCATACACTCTACTAATTTCTGAATAAAATTGATGAACTTTAACACCATTTCTTTACAAATTAAAGGCTTCCTACGAATTTTGTATTCTCACTTTTGGTGTTAATCGTTTGTTTGTAGCTCGAAGCCTAATTATTGGACCTCAATCAATGACAATGTTTCAATGCTTCTGTTTCACTTCCCCATTCCTTTTACTTTTTGCTTCTTCTTTTGTTTTAATGGCTGCTATTGCTATAGACAGACTTATTTCTGTTGTTCTACCTATCACGTAAAATTTTTTTGAAATTTAAAAATTTTTTCACTTGCTTGGCTTTAAGAAGATTCAGGAATACGTTATAGGTGCATGAATCTATTCATTATCCTAAGTAGGGTTGGGGTTTTGGAGTCGGGGCGATGTTCTAGTCATTTTTTTCAGGCCGGCCCAACCGAGACTTTTTCGGGCCGAAATTTAACGCCCGACACGATCTATCGTACCGGACTGGGTCGGGCCCCCAACCCTACACTTAAGTTGCTCTTTGATTTATAAAGTAGACCATGATCAAATTATTATCCTTTTAGATACAATCATCTAAACAAAAAAATTTATTTTATACTTGTTTCACTTTGTATTTTAACAAACGGGCTATTTAATGTTTCTTTGGCATGGGAGGAAGTTCAAGATGTTGCTGGAAATACAACGTATTTTTAAAGCTTATCTGACTCTAGACGGAGGGGGTTAAGTTCTGGGTCTGGTGATCTAAAATAGCTTAAGTAGCTAGTACATTGTGTTTTCGCTAAACCTTTGAAGAGATAGGTAAATTAAGGACATTAATATCTATGTATCCTAGACAGATATAAAATCAAATTAGCACTGCCCAATACAATAAAATTATTAAGCTTCGATTTTTGTGAAATATTTTTAAAAAATTTTTGAATTCAAAAACTAAAACTTCACCAGAAACATCGTACCAGATTGTAAGTATTTCATGAGAATCCAGATTGTTATCTCAAGAATTTCGATCCTCGATAATCGAAATAATTGTTAGGTATCTTGTCTAGGATGATCTCTCAGTTTATTACTCCTCAGTCTACTGTAAACCTTTTAATTTTTATCAAAAATTTTTTTTCAGTTTCAAAGTAAAATGTAACGGAATAACTTCAACTCTTCACCATAATTCTATTTATTTTATGAGTATCAGTCTGTTTTTTGAAATTTTCAGTGCAGCTATTTATGTTATAATTTGGTATTTACTGCGGCATGGAATGAGAAATAATTGTAATAGATTAATTTTTTGATAAACTAAAAGTAGTATGAATAAACATTAAAACAGTAAAAATCCAGCCCGTAATTTTGTAGGAAAAATTTTTGCCTGTGTTATGTCCTAAGGTCACGGTCTTACCTAGTGACTAACAGAAGAACACAAGAATAAAATAAAAGGTTTATCCGAATAGTAAATACATGAAAAGAGAACATGGCAAACGACAAAAATGAAGAGAGACAGGGGAAGAGTACCGACCAAGACTGATCTCTAACGACTGCTTTTATAATATACCTACAGATAACTAACTGCCTGGACTATTTCCAAAGTTTATAATCTAAAAATCACACAAGTAAGCAAGTCTATAAACAATTGCGGACTAAATCTTCTCGATTAGTGCTGTCTGGTTCACTAAATTCTTCCGTCAACCGAAGCTGCACCGACAAGACTAACCGATAATCCTCGGGATTTCTGTTCAGTTTTTGTGTTTAGTTTATTAGGAACCGATAACTCTACTTATTTTAGTAAATTTGGGCTGTTAACAAGACATTGAACAAATTAATTTTTTAATTAATTAAGTGTCAACAAGACGTTTATTTAAATCATTACTAAGTATTTTGCTTGTATCCTTGTTTGGCTTTACATTTTATACAAATTACTATTTATTTACCAAAATTATTGGAATTCCAAATTTTTGGGATCCAAGTGACACAGCTGTAACTTATATAGTTTATCAACTGGCTAATCATTTTGCTTTAATTGCTTGTTGTGCAAATGCTGTTATTTTATTTAAATTTAGGTATGTTTAGGAATGTTGAGAAAAAAGAAATTTTGTCGGATCGGAAAAAAATTTGGGCTTTGGGATCGCAATTGGATAGATCAAGTTTGGCGTATTTATAAATTTGAAATATTGGAGTTTGGCGCGCCACGCGAAAATCTTGGCGCTCAACCATGATTCTCATAATAAAATTAAAAAAGTTTATATACTCAATATTCTAACTTTATTTTTATGGTATTTAAATATTATCATAATGAAATACGATTTGGCTCTCGGATGGATGCTTTATTTTTTGGAAGCCTAAACAAATACTTAGGCTAGTTTTCTTTTTCAAGTGTGATCATTTTATGCACTTCAATTATTCATTTGTGTTTAATTTAAATATTCTTTAAATTAGATTTAACCGGTAATCAGATCAACGAGTTCTTGCACTTTTCGACTTATAATTTTTAAACGGTGATCATTCTTGATCCATCCAGTTTGGATAAAGATTGGGCTCATCGAGGGCTTTTGAATGATATAAGATTTATACGGATTTGATCAGGCTTTAAAAAGATATTCAATAAAATCCGGCTGTCTCTCAAAATTCCCGTTCCGAAGTTTAGGGATGTTGAGAAAAAAGAAATTTTGTCGGGTCCGATTGCGATGGGAATAAGAGTTTGGGCTTCGGGTTACCCGACCCACTCTTGATGTTATTTTGAAGTATTGCTTGAATTGCGTATTCAAACATCCAAAAATAAAGAAGGTAAAGATAGACCAACTACTACATAAATATAGACAGAATACCATAAATATTAAAGCATGACATAATCTATTATTTAATATTATCAAACTTTAATATTTTTAATTTTTAGTTGTGAGTATCGCCGAGCATTTCTTAAATATATTCCAATACTTAAGCGTTATGTTAAAGATTTAAACAATAAAAATGGAATAAATCAAATTAAGGTAAAATATTTAATCTATTTTTGAACCTACATTCACACTCAAAAATAGTGTACTAAATTCAAAATTTACGTCAAATACCTAGGATAACTATCACTTTGTTAGCTGCACATTTGCATCAGGGACAGGGATGTGCGCCAGAATTTTCGCGTGGCGCGCCAAACGCCAATTTTTCAATTTTTCAAATCACGCCAAACGCCAAAATCGGCAAAAATTTTATTCAACTAAGGCCCGAAAAACAAGTGTTTATCTCTTTTTAGCGCCGCAGGCAAAAATTTTTAAATTTTCACGACTTCCAGAAGTCAAAATTCATCCTTTTTTTAGCACCTACTACACCCAAAATTATGGAAATTTGTTAAGAACAAGAGCAGAAATCCTACTTTTTGTAAAAAATTGCAAGAAAAATGGAAAAATCACAACCCCAGAATTGTAGATATCGAAGGGTTTAGATGTCCAGATATCCTCTTTAACCTCCCGAAGTAAGGGAATTAGAATGGATTAAGGAGGCAGTAGTGGACTTTAGTAGATTAATAGGATTTGATGGATATTGGAGGATTGAAGAAAAGTGCATTAAGATCCTTCTATTAGTTCCACAGGCGCAAATTAAAATTGCAACTTGTTTTTTAGAGATAATAAGTACGGTGAAGTAGACTACTATAACATCCCTTTCTTTTTATTGATTGATTATCGCCCCGCCCCTGAAGAGACGGGCAGACAAAATAAGGATGACGTAATCCATACCTTTTGCCACATGACAAATTGCCACTCGACAAAATGCCACGCGACAAAATGCCACGGGACAAAATGCCACGGGACAAAATGCCATTTTTAAAAATAATTAAATTCCCAGTGGCGGAGTCGGTCCTGTGACTCCTAGCCTATAGGCGGAGACACTACCGACTCCGCCACTGGGAAGCTTAATTAATTTAATTTATATTTAAACTTAAACCCTTTAAACTAAGCGACCGGGATGGTTCAGGGCCCGGTTTACAGTGCGGACGGTTAAGCGCCGTTTAAAAATGTTAATGTTAAAAATATCAAGTTAAAATATTAAGTAAAAAATGGCAAGGTAATGATTTCATAAAAATATCAAGTCATTAATTGACAGGGCATTCAGATCCAATGGGTAAATTATAATGAGTAATTGATCTTGGTAGCCCAACCAGGGGTATATCTTTAATATTTTCTGTGATGGCATTTTCTTGAGTGGGAGTAATTAAACCTCTATTGCGCAATAATCTAAGAATTAAAACCCAGCATAGAAGAATCATAGGTATTAACAGTGAATAAATCAATAAAAATAAAAGAATATCATAAGCTACAATCTTATTAGATCCCTTAAAATTTTCATCAAGATTTAAAGCGAAAGTTATATTATCAGAAATATCAGAGTAATTTTGCATTTTAAATGCCTGTATGATTTTAATAACCAATTATTTATACAAATTTTTAACCAAGATTGGAATCCGAAACGATATGCCGATTATAATCTATCATTAACATTTGATCAAATTCTCCCAAGATAATCATTTCAACTCCACCAGAAGGAATGGGAGAATTAAATTCTAAACGAATACTTGTAGTACCACTTCTAAGCAGCTCAATACAAAAAATGTCCACCCATTTTTGTATCGGGACATTGGAATATCAATGGACCGATCAGAGTTAGCCATCCCCAATGCTTCGTACATGTCAACGAAAGCTCGAACAAAAAGATCTTTTTCAAATTTTAGTTTATAAGCAACCATGGGATAAATATGTCCTCCTGTATGAACTGAGATTTCTCGCAAATCAAATGGTTTAAAGTTAAATGGGGAAAGAGCAATGTCCCCATTAAATGCCTTGTTTGACACCAAAGCAACCGTGACTCTTCTCGGTATTGTAGCGCTAAAAGCATTATATTCAATTTCTGTGCGCCCCGCGGTTAAAAAGGTCGATTTCATTTCAGTTCTTCGCAGAGCATATGTAGCAGGCTTTGATTCAAGCGTTTTATAAATGTTCATATTGAGAGATGGCTGTACCTCAATCATTTTAGAAAAAAGTTTAACGTCATGAACATAAAGCCTATATTCGTTTTTATCATCGGCTTTAAGCTTATGTAAAACAAATGAATTTTTGCTTCTATAGATGCTAAAGTTTATATCTAAGTTATTAAGTAAAAATAATTCCTGGTTTCCCAAATCAAAATCTAATCGTGAAAGAAACTGAGATCTTTTACCCCCAGCAAATAGCGAACATCGATTTATAAATCCTGAATCAAAAGCATCATCATGCTTTTCGCTTTTATAGTACCCTACTGATGCAAGAAAATTAGACTTAACATTGTCAGGAAATGATAACTCATTGGTTATATATGCTTTATATGGATAAAGAGTACCACTATCGTAAATTTCAGTATTACCAACATTAACTTTTAGTTGTTGAACGAATGTTTGCCCGATACCTTGAATGGTTCCTATATTTGTATCTTTAGTCGAATCAATATCTTCCCATTTACCATTTTCACCAAGCTTTTCAATAGAAAGTTCAAGATAAAGATAAGTCCTGGAAAGGTCAGTCCAGAGATTATCACTGAACAAACGAAACAAATAAGGCGAATCCTGTGTTATTGTGCTAAGAGGAAGAATCTCTCGAAAAAATGAGCGAATAACAGAAACATTAGTAGGAGGAACGGAAAAAATATTCAGGGCACTATTTAAGGCCAAAGGACTATTTTCATTAATTTGTTTTGGACAACTCATGTTAGTATGTGCCTAAAGTATCTACTCGTAAACGTTTGTTAGCGTGAATTTTTCTAGGTGATTTTTTCGAAGGTTTCCTAACAAGATTAGGAATAAAATTAGGAGGGCCAATACGGGAATATGCCCGCTTATTTATAGTATTAGGCTTTATATCATTTTTTTCATCATTCATTTGACCAAGGGATGGATGCTTTTCAATATTCTTGTAGCGTTTAAAATCAAATCCTTTGCCTGTTTGTTTATCAACGTTATCGGCCGCTTTCTGTAGTAAATTTTTCAACCCCGATTTGCCTTCATTAATTAGAGATTCTTTCAGATTCTTTCCTTCGAGAACATTACTTAAAACTTTATTGCCCGATTCTAGTCCTTGTTTACCTATGGCACTACCAATTTCTTTGCCGATAGGTATAAGATAACGGAGAAAGCTCCTAAATACTGAACCTAATCCACTTCCTCTTTGGTAGGGAACACCGCGAAACACGTTATACCCACCCCATTGATTAGGCTGCTCGGTCAATGCTGACCAGTTAATATGTGAGGGATCAAAGTCGATATGCATTTCAAGTTGAAAATAAATATTTTTAATCTAACTATGTATATTAAATATCTTTGATGCAATAAATTCTCTTACAAACTTATCAGCATTTATATTTTTAAGAAATGAAATTATTTCATTCATGTGAAAACCGGAACAGCGCATATAGAGATAAAATATTGCATGGTGGCCACACGAGCGTGAAAACATACCCTGAAGTTTAATGGAATTAAATCGAACCCTTTGAAATTTTTCTAAATAATCTCGAATATGGGAGCTCATCGGCGGCCATATTCCCAACGAATCGTAGTATTCAATAGTTTTAACGGAATCACAAAATATGGCTACCCAGTGTGTTCCAGGTGAATTATTAGGATCCATGTTAATTACCGCACAGAAAGGTGAATAGGTTGACTTAGAAGGGATACAGTTAGAGGGATAACAACCGATATAATATTTTTTGGTAACAGAATTTCTGTTTAACATTTTATCAATCTGAATAGTATTCATTATTAAAAGTAAGTAGACTTTTTAAAGTGTAATGTTAATGTACATGTTCCATACTGAAAAGGCATCAAGGACCCGCTAGTTGTGCGAATTTCAATTAAAATTTCAGAAATTTCTTTAACAAGCAACTTATGATATTGAATAGAAAGAAATTGTTCCTCAATTATTTCGTCTTGATTTCCCCGAATGGTTACAATACGGAGAACCGGAGCGGTAATATCCCCAATAATCATTGGTTCAATTAGGCCTGGGGCATAAACGTGAAAACAAGAAACCCCTCCTCTCATATCTGGCATAAATTTTGCAACACAAGATTCCTTTAATACTTGTGAATCAAAACCAAGAATATATGCAAGCTGCTCGCTTATTTCAATTTGTTCTATATACTTCTTGTCGATAAATAATGAAAACCTATTTTTATGTGAGTGAAACTCAAAGGCACATGCAAATTTTGGTTTACGATATACTGTAATCCACGGTTCAAAGCCACTTTCACGAGTCAGTTCAATAATTTTCCTAGTTTCTATAGGCAATTTGTCAATTTCTGCTTTAACCATATCGTTGTAAATCTCTGTTTCGCTTCTCAGTTTAGGAATTTCGCCCTCAGGAATAATCACATGTTTTTCAGTTGTTACGTTTGTAGATACCTCTTTACTGCTCTGTACTAGTTCTTTTAATTTTTTGTACTCTTCCTTAGCCTTGCTTCGTGTTTCCTTTAATATATTGGTATACTCAACTTGACAACCACGCATTTTTTCCGAAAGTGTCTCACTTCCTTCATTAAGAGATTTATCAAGGCTTTGTTTTAAATTTTGAGGGTTAGTTAAACTATTAGAAGGTACCGCTAAACGAACAATCTCACCACTTTTCCAAACAACTGTTATAGTTTGTTCAGTTGTAGTCCCAAGTGAAGGCCAGGAATGAGGATAAACCATGACAGATAATCCAACATTCCATTCAGAATTAAATTTTAGTTTATGGGGTAATCTAACTCTAAAAGAATTAGTTCTATTTCCTTCGACATTAGTATTGGATGGAATAATTATATAAAAGGAAGTCATTTTTATTTTAAATATTTAAAATTTCATTTATGTATATTATCTCCAAAGAACAGAGTTAGCAGGTATCCAACTGTTATGTTCAGACCCATAATCCTTCCATTTTACGAAAAGATAATCCACACCATTTCGTTTCCTTTTTCTCAAAACCTTTTCAATGTCATAAATATTCTCATTCTTTTTAAGTTCTTTAACGAGAATTAAATCATTCCCATAAAACCACCCAAGAATTTCTTCCCCTTTACGATCGCGAATTTTATAAGTTGGAGGTTGATGGGGAACCAATCGAACCTGGTCAATAATGAAAATTTCATTTGTAAAATTTGGTAGGTATCCTTTTTGGAAAATATGTTTATATTTTTCTATACGAACATTATCCCCAACAGAAAATTTTTTATTTCTCCAACTTGATGGCGCGTGTTTTGCAACTGCCTTTTGTTTTAAAAATAAGCGCAAGCGTTCTGCATTTTTATAATTCACATCAATAGGTCTCATGTCAATACTAGAGTTAAAAGAACGATTAATGGACAAAACAATTTTCTGGATAACGTCTAACCATTTTAAAGTTTTATTCTCTGTAAAATAACGGTAAAGTCGCTCTTTGATACTACGATTAGCCCTCTCAGCCATGCCTGCATGCCATACGGGGGAAGTGAGCATTGAGAAGTGTTCCATATCTATTGAGCGAAAATATTTTTGTACAAATTTTGCAGTGAATTCTAATCCTTGATCTGTTAAAAGTTTCCAGGGTATTATTCCGACCCGAGAAAATAATTTTTTAAAAGCTTCGATCATATTAGTACTATGTTTGCTTTTTACTGGTTCAACAAATATTTGTCGGCTAAGTGTATCAATACATACTAATAAATATTTGTATCCACGATTATGTTTACTAATTTTATCAAAAACGCTAAGATCGGCCTGCCATTCTGTGTGTAAGCCTGGAGCTAGTGTTGGCATGCGCTTATACTTTCTAATTACTCTTCTATGTAATGTATTAACATTTTGGCTTGCAAGGTAATCTCTCACAATATTTCGAGAAATATTTTTATCTAATCGCCTGGCTTCCTTTAAAAGTGGTTCAACGGATGTAAAACATGTAGTCGAATTAACATTCTTGTATAACTTGTCAAGAATTTTAATTTTGTTTTTATTTAATTTTGCCATAATGATGGTTTATATGAAAAGGTGTGTTTAAAAAATCCTTCACCTTCTTGGTTGCTAGTTGAAGATTTCGAAGGAAAAAGTATATTTTGTAAAATCGAATGGCTATTTATTCTACGAATAAACTCGTCATAACCAGTAGGGATTGGTCTTTTGCGTTTACCTTTATTTTTAATTATATAGCTTAAAATTTCTTCAATATTACTTGTGACAAAGGATTCTTGAGTACCTAATCTTCTGGCTAACTTACCACTGGGCAATATGCCAAGTTCATTAGCATGATCTCTCAAATATTGACGAGCTTCTTCCTTAGGATCTGTTTCACTATCTGCTGAAAAGAATTCTTCACCCTCTTCATTCTCAATTTCATCAGGATTTTCTATCTTTACAGCTGGATTTGAAAATTTGATTCTCTTTCTTAATGTAACTTTACCAATTGAGTTTCTTTTGGGTTTTCTTATTATAATTTTTCTAGAAATTTTATTTTTATTAATCTCGTTTTTTGTTTCCACTGGACTTTTATTTAAATCGACATTTTTAGTTACGGCATCAGCAATCTCTTCAAAATTTTTGAGTTTCACATCAATAGGCTTCTCTTCTTTTTTTTTAATAAGCTTGTTATACCTTTTAAAATCCTGCTCGTAACGAGCTGCTCTTGTTGTAGGATCTAACGAATTATTGCTTACACTACTGTTTTGTAAACGTTCTTTTATTAAGCCTAAGGCCGTCCCGTCTCCATTCCCATCAATTTTATCACTACTTACTAAACTTTCATAAAAATCCTCAGGAATTAATATCATTCGCTTCATTGTTAATTAAAATTTATATTATCAAATTTTATTTATATTATTTAAAAATTTTTTCGGTAATTAAAGGTAAAACTAGACTTGCAAGAATACCCGCTAAAGGATAAATCCCGTTTCCTTGTTGTAATAAACATCGTGTTGAGGAAGCACTTCTAGATCTACTGATTTTCCTCAATATATTTGCATGTTTTTGCAAATTAATAATTCTATTTTTATGAAAAGGTAAACGCCCCTTTAATAAATTAAAACAAATTTCAACGAAGCATAACAACTGTTCAGCGGATGCGTTTAATAATATATCATTCATTACCTTTCTAGATTTTTTAGATTCGCAAACTGAATTTAAGAAATTTACATTTTTCTCAATTAATTTGCTTGTAGAAATTTTTTTATTCATTTTGGTATATAAACTATAGTTTTTTCTCCCGTATTATAATATATATGTGTTCGAAGTCGTAAAAAGTCAGGAGTACTAGGATGTATATCGACTAACAAATATCCAAAGTTTTCTTTTGTAGCATTAGAATAGGATTCCAGAAAGTATTTTGATTTTGAAGGGAATAATTGGGTTGCAAGTGTTCTAATTTGCAAAGCTCCTGCCGGATTTCTCATTAATAAAAGATAATGAGAATTATTACGGGCAACTTTTAATTCTTTACTGAATAAATGCTGTGTTATTAATATAACACTCATTTGCCAGTTATGAGACCCTTTAGTGAATATTGTATCCAAAAATATTTGGTTCATCCCAACCATTAAATCATCTAACACTAGTAACATTCTTCCATGCCTTGCTTGTTGTTTTATAAATTCATTTCCCCCGTTAGGCAACCCATTGTGAACAATAACTTGTGTTTTACCTTTATTTACAAAACCTTTACGTTGCATATTTATAATATTAGAATTTAATTCACCATAACAATAAAAGACTAAATCAATTTGATTATGTTTTTCATTTTCATAAGTAACCATTTCCTCCAAATTTTCCAGCAAATTTTTAACCCATTCTGATTTTCCAGACCCAGTACTGCCGGATACGATCATAGTGAACGGGTGTTTAAAACGAGCGTGTATAGTATCGACTTTCTCAAATCCATTCATTTTATCTAATATAACAAATCAAATTCAGAATATTATATATAGAAAAATTAATTTCATTTTTCATTATAATATTATTAAATTATGGAATTTTATAATCTCGAGCCTTGGGGTGTTATTGAAGATAATGAGTCTCAGGCAAATACAAATCAGACAACAAATCAGGCTAATCAAGAAAGCAAAGAGGCAAATAAAAAGGTACAAATTTTTTATAAATAAATTAAAAGCACATTTTCAGAATGAAATAGATGTAATTACACCTGCTTTTGGATTGCTTAACATTGTGGATGAAATAATCGAAGAAAAGGAAGATGAGGTTGAAGATGAAAAAAATCTAGATATAAGTGAGAAATTACTTCGTCTGGTTATAGACGATGATGATGAGGATAAACCATTAGATTGGACTGTTGAACCAGAAAATCCATTTCGTGAACCAACACCCCAACCACCAACTACAACCATACGACCTTTTAATGAAATAACAACTAAACATGTTCGACCAAATAAAGGCTCTATTCCTTTACTAGACTATCTTTGCGAAATAAAAAACTGTTCACTTAAAGAACTACATGTGCTTTTTCATAATCTCGAAGTTCGGCGCGAACTTATAGAAAATTTGCAACAAAATGTCCAAATACGTACTTCTCATCTAAAGCCGAGTTGTAAAAATTTCAACGTCTATTGCCATGATTTAACAGCGCAATCTGCAAGTAATGTTCTAGCTATGGGAGGATATCTTGGAATAACGGTAAATTAAAATTAACTTTTAAATAAGATTGTATTTTTTAGGTTCGCGGGTACTACTACGTCAAGCACAAACTCAAAATCTGCCACCCATATTTACCGTGCCTTATACAATTTGGAGGAGGACACCATCGATCATTTTACCCGCTTGAATGTCTCAATGTGATCCGCCACAAGATGAAAGGAGGATGTTCATAGAAAGATATTTAATTTTAAAACTTTTAAAAAGCTTTTAATTTTTCAATAATTTTATTTTTAGTATACATAAAATATTGTATTTTTTATTTTTGAAAAGTAAATATTATGCAAATAGAAAATTGTACTGCTGTTTTTAAACTTCTTCCATATAATAAACGATTTTCTTACGAAAATTTTATTCAACTTGCCCGCCATGGAATAAATACAGAATATAATCCTCGGCGATTCCATTCAATAATTATGCGAGTTCGGCATCAGGAATATAAAACAACGGCAGCACTTATATTTCAATCAGGCAAAGTTGTTCTCACTGGTGTTCCTAACCCCGCATTGGCAATCAGAATGGCTTGGCGTGTAACTAAAAGAATCCAAGCTTCATATAAGGCAACAGGCAATGACTATTCTTATTTAAAAATTGGTGTGAGGAATCTTATCGTCACAAATATTGTTGGTGCTTATCGACATCCAAAAAAGCTGGCAATTGAACGACTTTATTTGTATCTTCGGCAACGACAAAATATAACTTGTTATTATGAACCAACAATATTCCCAGCACTTCGTTTTAAGATAAAAATAGAAGCGAGGGATGGAGAAGTTTCCTGTCTTTGTTATATTTCAGGACGTGTAATACTGACTGGATTAAAATCTCAAAAAGAAATGGAACCTATTTTTGAAAATGATATATTACCATTGCTTGAAAAATTTCCACGATTATAAAATTTATTTAAAAAATAAAATATTTACAATTAATATCAGAATAATTTTTTGTGGTGTGGTAAATAAAAATAAAAATTTTTTAACAAAATTATTGATTAAATCTATTTAAATAATCACGATTTGGTCAGTTTAATGAGCCTGGAACATCTTCTAGATTGAGAATAGAATCGTCCATCAGACTAGTTTGTGGTTCAGTATTATGAAGTTGTTCATGTTGTTTGTCTTGGGTGTCCATGATCACTTCCAGTCTGAAGTTTAACAATTATTCTACAACTTATCAAAAAAAAATACCGGAATTTCTCTGTATCCAAACGGCAGAGTTTCCATCTCTGGCATTATTCTCCCCTTCTCATAATAGGGCCTATATTGTTTTGTTGCCATGTGTGTATAGAGCTGTGATCGTCGAGTTCTGCCAATCTGAGGAAATTGTACACATATTGAATTGCCATTTCCACCAGTCCTGTTGAAGATGTCATCAGCAAGCGCTTCATCCCTAATTGAAAAATTTGTTTCATTTAAATAAGTTTTTAATTTACATTATTCCATCAACATTAAACTGATCAAGCACAAGTTCCTTCATGCTCTCAAAGTTGAGTAATTGATGTGTGGCATAAGAGAGCGGGAAAGAGCGGATCTTAAGCTCTGCTCGCTCATCCATCCCAGCATTTGCGTCGACGTGTCTGTACCCATAGTTCTTTGGCCCTCCAGCAACAAATTCCAAAATTCGACGTGAAGGAATTTCACGTTTCATTTTCCCAAGTGATTCGCCTTCGGGTACGCGTGGACCACCAACCTTCCCAACATAGAGTAGAGAATCAGTGTCGCAATACAAAAGACGGCCGCCAATTTCATGAACTTTCTTCATATAATCGTAGAGATGTAAACGAGCATACGAAGTCACAAACGCTGCTACAGGAATACAGTTGGTGTTGGGTGCTTTGGCAAATTCCGTTTTTTTCCTGACTACACAGCGATCCAAATGCTCACTAACATGATCGAAATCGAGCATTTCTGTTGTCGGATCTTCAAATAATTGATGAAATTCTGCTGGTGTTGTGGCGTAACGGACTTCGGTTCCACAAACACGTTGCGCAAGCTTACCCCAAAGTGAGTTTGCCAATTATTTCTAAAATATTTATTTAATCAGACAAAATAATTAAATATACCGCAATCATTCGAAGGCCCGGATTCTTCTCAATACGATCTGGATCCAAAGCAATACCCTCAGTTCGTTCAAAATCTAGTAGATATTCAGCTCTATCCATTTGAGTTACACAACCATCCGGCCAGCCACTTGCCATTTGCTTTAGCCCCACAAATGTGTTCACATATGATTGAAAAAGCTTGTCGTCCCATTGGTCATAGTTCCAAACCTATAATTTTATTCAACATTTTAAATAAATAATTTAGTAACCTCATAAATATCCACGACTTTATAGCCGTGTTCCAGACCCGCATTCAGCTCAATGTGTGTGTAGCCGGTCAGCCAGGAACGCTCACGATTTGAATGGGTACAAGGCTGTTGTTGTTTATCATCGGCGCATTTTGCACAAAGTGGAAAGGTGAGCCGGCCATCATGGGTTCGATAAGGTAGAAGTGGTGGAAGATTTCCTGGCAAGCATGTGGGTGGTTCTATTTTGACAAGAAGTAAACCCTTGTAGATGTTGTGCTCTGGAATTGTCCAGGGCAAAGGGTTGTTGTTTGATGGAGCAAGCAAAGTTTCACGAGTCAAAACGTGAGGATGACCGATTGGGAAGGGCCTTGACTTCATCACATAGGGATAGAGACTTACCTAAATTTTAAATGTTAAAAATTTAATGAATTAAAAAATTACAATATCGATATAGATAATTTCCTCATCTTCAGCACAAATGTGATGAAGTTTGAACGGCTCTGTCCTACCACCCCTCAGACAATCCTCCCTTGGATCAAGAGGTCGCACACAATCAATTTCAAGCCATTGATGGCGCAACTTTGGATTATTTCTTAATTTTTCCATCATTTCATGTCCCCAGATTACATGAAGTTCAAATCCGTGCTGGTGTTCCAATTCCCAAAGACGTTGTTGTGTCCTTTCATAAAGTTCTTCAGCAGTACGGCCAGCGGCTAAACGTTGATCTCGACGAGGGAAGCATCTTGGACAGCCTAAATTAAAAGTTTATACAAAAAATCTATTTTAAAGTACCGTGGAAGTAGCAACCCATGTATTCAATTGCTAATGGGCGTTGTGGGGGAGATCGCTGCCAAAGACCATCCAATCTATAACCACAATCTTCCACATGTGCTTCGCCCTATGCCCATTGTGCATGCTGAATCTTTCCTGCTGCTTCAGGATTTTGTTGTTCGAATAAGCGGATGTATCGCTGCGATTCAGCAGAGGCACGTCTTCCTCTCAAATAGCCTCCCTCAGGCGAATGGACTATCCAATTTTCAGGCAGGAAACAGCGACGCATAGTTGTAAGAGCCAAACCGGCAATTGTTGATGCGGCTAGAAAAGGATCCAACTTTTGCGCGTGCTGGCCAATGAGATGCCGAAATCGAAGAACTCCTTCACGTAGAATAGCAACATCATTAGCACAATATAGAATAAGTTGTTCACGAAGCTGAAAATTAGTTGACTGATCAAATAGTTGTTGTTGATACCACTCTAAAAGCGATTCTCTCTTCACTGAATTTTTATATTCAGGCTGATAATAATGAAGTGCCGGAAGTCCTTGAATTCTTTCATGAAGATGCTGTCTTTTTACAAAAAGATAGGGAAAGAATGGCTTGGATGTTGCTACTTCTTCAGGTATTGAGAAAATTTTTGTTAGAGCATCAAGCTCACAACTGAAGTAATTAAGCGAGTCTTTGAATAAGACTTTTCTTTTGTGGTTCCCAGTTAATTTCATAGAATATATTTTAAGACCTGTTGTGCACAATCTTGTTGGTGGTTGGTTTCGCCTATGTAGAGCTTCAAGAACTAAGTGAAAGTCGTATTTACCACCATTATGGGCTATACAAATAGTTAACATTTGCTGCGAACCATGATTAAGAAGATAATCAAGAAATTGATCCACAGGGCTTTCATGGATGTTGTCGAAGGAATGGAAAAACATCCGGCGAGGATTAAATGAAATTCTATTTGGAAAGGCGGTGTTGTCGCCAGCGGCATTTTTGAAAGGTGGTGAACACCAATTGCGCCATCTTTCTCCTCGGGGCTTCCCGCAAAAGCATCCTACGGCACGTTGGCCTACATCTTCAATTTTAATTCCAGCCTTTATACAGTTCTCACAAATTATCTGAATAAAAAGTTTTATTAGAATGAAAGCTGAATAAAAATTTTATTTTAAACATTAAAAATTTTTTAAAAATTACCTCGGCAATTATAAGTATTGGAACATGTTTATATCCATTAATATTGCAGCTAATTTGTATATTTTCATCCTGGCTGGTTTCAGCATCAAAAAAGCATAAGCGAATTGGAGATTGTCGTTTCTTTTGTCGTTGTTGATCTTCTTCATCAGAATCTTCTTCAGCTTTTAATGGCTGAATATAACAAGGTAATTCCTCTGTGTGAGGCCCCCGACATTTTTTACAAATTAAATTTTGTTGTTGTTGTCGTCGACATTCATGTTGTTGTTGCCGATAAATAATAATATGACATATATTACAAATGCGTCTCATTTGACAAATGGAAACAAAAGTACGGCTATCGCATCTAATAAATTCTTCAGGTGCATCATTTATTAAATGGTAATCAAAACAAGAACGATTAGGAAAAACAAATCCACAGTCTTGGCATAAAACTTTTTCAGAAATCTAAATTTAAATTACAATAAAAATAAAAATTATATTACCTGGCAAGGGAAATTGACACCTGATCTCATGCAAAATCGGCACACAACACTGCATCCCGACCAGTGAGTCCATCGGGTGTAAGAACGCTCACAGTCAATACAATAGCGTTGTACAGAGAAAAGTTGTTCAGGGCGTCCGATAAAATGATAATGATTATTTTCAAGCAGTAAACATAAATTGTATCGCGCTGCTCTTCCATCGCCCTTGTAGACTATTCTATATTGTTGTTCCTTTTGGAAAACAACAATACGAACATAATATTCATCTTCAAAAAAGATGTTTAACCAGTGTTGCAAGATTGCAACATGTTCGAGAGAATATTCCTTAAATTAAAATATTTTATGTAAAAGTATTGTCATAATTTTAAAAACTAATTTAAACAATAAAAAATACCATAAGTCCAAATGCAAGTCCCGCGTTTCGCATTAAATTTTCTACTTGGTATAAATGTTGATGTTGTTGTTGGCAAAATTCTTTAAATCTAGCGGGTCCGTTGGGTATGCCTTGATCCACCATCCTAATTTTTGCCAGTCCGATAACTACTGCACGAGCAAGGCAGTATCTGTCGTTAGGATTGTGGACGCGCACAATCGATCGGCACCGGGACGATAAAACATGGTCGGATTCCAAATCACAACTACCTGTAGGAAAATAGCAGCCTTATATTTAAATAAAAAATATAAGACTAGTATCGACCTACCAGATCGGCCATCGGGATTATTTGTTCGTTGTCCATCTAATGGCCACACGCCCACAACTTTTGTTACTGTTGTTCCCGATAACAAATCAATTCCGGCCTGAGACATTTCGTTCAGTCGTTCAATTGCTGCGGCCAAAGCGGCAGGATTATTCTGGGCAAGTGGTCGAAGTGGAATTGTAAACGGGTGATGGAAATTTGGTGGTTGCACCTGAAGACCAACACGAAGTGGTGCTGGTCTTCCGGCGAGCACCCGATCCAAAAGTTGTTCAATTAGGCTTGCGAGAGCCAAATCTGGGCGAGGGTGGTCTTCAAGAGGATTGAATCGTATATGGCAAATTTGGCCATAAGTATTACGAGATCGAGAATTGAAATCAGTAACACGCTCGATTGTGAAGTAATTGTTCATGTTAATGTCCTGAATTTATTATTATTGTATTATTATTAATTTTAATCTTTATTTATACAAACACACACACACAAACGACAAACATGCACAACAGTCACATTTATCTAAACTATTTAGCTCATAATTCCCATTAACACAACGGTGACGGGTTAACTACTCAATTATAATTGATATTAAAAATTAAATAACAAAAGTTTAAGACTAAAATAATTTTTTTGCAATTTAAGGCGGTGTGGGGTTAAGCGCGAGGTGTGGGGTTAACTACTTAATTATAATTGATACTAAAAAATTAAATAACACATAATTTCATAATATTTATTTAAAATTACATTAAAAACAATTTAAGGCTAAAATACTTTCATTATTTAAGGCAATAGATACTTTTAAAAATCAATTTAGGCTAAAATAAAAGCTTAATTTAATCAATTACAAAGTTATAAAATAATAATAAAATTAGGATAATAAAATATTATTTAAATAGAAGCAAGATATTTTGGGACGGAGATATTGTGATTTTCTGATGTAAAATAGTAAATCTTTTAAGAACTAAAGTCACCAGGATTGGATAATAATATTAATATTCTCTTTTTATTCGCTATATTTTTCCTTTAAGAACCAACGTAACCGTGAAAAATGTGTATTTGTCAGAACACGCCCAATATCTCCGTCCCCAAATGTCTTACTACAATTTCAGAGATTATATGTAAGGATTATTTCTATTAATATTTAAAAAGTAAGAAAACATAATTTTTAAATTATAAAAATAAATTATTTTTTAAAAAAATTGTAGTTTTAAATAACCTAAACATGCCCCTTAGATTGAAAATTCTGAGAGTCCAATACAAACACAAAAAAATATTTAAAATGTTGGACTACTCGTTATTTTCAACCTGGGGAGCCATATCCTTTCGACATATTGTACAAAAACGATAATTACGTGACAAATCCCAAAAACAAATTTTATGTATTTTATGATTACACGGTAAAACGATTACACTTTGTAATGCGGTGAAATCTCGGTTACACGGACCACATGATTCTTCCTCAGGATTGTGAATGTAATCCTCTGGAAGTTTAATACGAGAGGCCATAAGAGTATTCCGTTCACTTAAGTTCAACCCCCCAGGTGCCGAATATACATCAACAATACGTCGCTCACCTCTATACATTTGTGCCAAGTGACTTTCTTCATCGTTAAATACCGAAGGTTCACTGTAGATTAAGGGGGGTGGGGTATGGCCAGCAGTTCGCAAAATGTTTCGTAACTAATTAAAAACACAATATCACGGACAACGCATTAATAAGACAAATATTTTTATTTTAGTAAAATTTACTTGAATTGGCTGGTTGCTATTAGAATTTGTAAATTGTGTAGGCATACGCTGAAAAAGTATAACTCTTAACAATAATTTAAGTGTATTTGAATTTTTAACTTAGAAAATTAAAAAAGCATTACTTGATGGGAAGGAGAATTCTGAGAAGTTGAATTTGTTGGTGCCAATTCATTTAAAATTTCACTAGCAAGCTGAGGTGTTTGCTGAAATTTTTTGTATTTAGTGATTTTTAAATAAAAATTATTAAGTATTTTTCATTTATAAATAATAAGTTTTTAATAATTCAATTTTTTTTCAAATAAAGAATTACAAATAAGTACTTGAGGCGTATCATCTACCACCACCACCAAGTCATTTAAATTTTCAGAAGCAACTTGTCGATGTTGATGCTGAAATAATTATTATTGTTGCATGTATTATATAAATATTTTAGTAAATTACAAAAAAAATTGTAATTAAATTTTGTTAAAAATATTATTTGTTAGCATACTCTTAAATAACTGGCAATTTATTAAGAAACATCGTTTTAAATTTAAACAAACCTGCAATATTCAAATTTAAAAAAATAAATTGATTTAAATATGAATCCCGTTAATTGAAATTTTATTGAATCTAGCATTAATATTAAATACTTAATTCGAATAGATTTAAGCTAATATTTTATTTTATACTTTTTATAAATTTTTTAATTTAAAATTAATTTAATATTAGCAATTTCTCATCAATTGAGTTTAAGTACAATATTAATCAATTCGATTATGTATCATATTACATTTAAAATTTAAAACTCAGTAAAAACATTTTAATCAAAATACTTAGGTAAATTTCAAATTGGCAAAAGAAAAAAAAATTTCAAATAATAAAATTTACTTTAATTCAATACTAAATTTAATTAAAATTTCTAGTTCAAGTGAAATTTTTAATTCAAATTTTAATTTAAATTTTATTAAATTTTTAATTCAAATTTTAATTTAAATTCTATTAAATTTTAATCATTTATTTAATTAATTTAAGCAAATAATTTAATTAATGGCTAAATCTTCCTTCAATAGTCATTAAATAGTAAATTACAAATGAATATTAATAAGACAAATTTATTAAAAGCATTTTCAAAAATATTTATTTGAACAATTAAATTTATAATTGGAATATAAAAAACTTTTCAAATTATATAATTCAATGAAATTTTATTTTAAGCAATATAAAAAATAAATTCAGAAATTAGGATAAAATTAAAATATAGTTGTAAAGCAGTAAAAAGATTATTACTAAATTTTTACGAGAAAGAGCATAATAAATTATAATCGAGAAATTCTTAATTTAATAATTTTTTAAATAATCCAATGTATTTTTTAAAATAAATATTGGTAATAGATTGAATAAGGTTAATACATTAGATTTATAATTGAAAAATTTAAGATTTAAAAATTTTCAAGTATTTAACCTACATATTCAACTTCTTCTTCCTCTCGGGGGTGTTGATAAATACGGGCGGAACTTGAAGGCCCTTGCTCAGTTAAATTACTTTGTTGTTGTTCAAAATTTCCGGCGTTTAGTATTTCAATTGTTGAGGAGCTAACAAAACGCAATTTTATGTCCACACTTCCAGACCATAAATGACGAGCTCCTGTCTCGGGAACTACAATAAGATTGCACAGCTTAACACGCTAAATTTTAATAAATCAAAATTTTTTTTAAATTTAAAAAAATTTACTTGATTTATTTTTGCCCCTTCTAATCGGCTCGCATTTTGTTTCCAGGCAAAGACGCAAATTTTTTCTTTATCACCAGCCTGGCCTATTTCCACATGACAGTCACCGCGGTCCCACCCATTTTTGGCGGTGGGACCGCGGTGACTGTAGACGACATCGCCGATGAGCTCGCTTTAAAAAAAAAGTTTTTGTTAATTAAATTTTGAATATTAATTTGAAAAATATTTAAAAAATAGTATTTTTATTTTCAAAAATTACCTAAACACTTGATCTTTCTCCCACGGTAACATGAACATATCTGTTGCAGTACAGCCAGTAGTTTCATCTAACGTTATGAATCTGGCTCCTTCAGGTTGATGCCCAGTAAATCGATTCTGCCGTTTTGCAAGAATCTATTAAAAAATTTTTTAATTAAAAATTTTAAATAAATTAATTACTTTGCAAATTTTTTTTAATTTTTTAAAAATTAAAATTTAAAAAATTTTAATTTACCTAAACGTATTAAACTTTGTTGGTTTAAATATTTTATTTACCTGCGCAGCTATTTCCTGAGGCATTCGATCCGCTTCTTCAACTACAACAATCTTTAAACAAAAAAAATTTTTTTTTAAATGTAGTATTTTTTAATTAGTTAAGAATAAAACTAATATAAAAATATATATTTTTTCTAATATATATATAATATTTTCTTTAGGATTTTACAATATTACAATACCTGAGCTGGAGCTGCGGCTACAGGCATTGGCATTGGTGCCGCATTTGTTGAAGTCATTCCATCAACCTTTATTGTTAAAATTTAAGAAATTTTTTTTAAAAATTAAACAAATTTTGTTTTTCTTTCATTTAATTTAACCATGGTAATTTAAAGTTTTTTTTAGATTTTTTTTTAAATTAAATCAAATTTACTTGATTTTGTTGTGTTGGATACAAAGACCACATCTGTTCACTTGCCGGAACCTAAATATGTAAATTAAAAATTGAACAAGAGAATAAATATTAGTGTTAGTTTTAGGAAATACATAATCTATATAGAAAGACAAAAACACTGAAAAAAATATCATGCATAAATTTCCCGAAGAAATTTACAAAATAAATATATTTTTACATTTTTAGAAAATTCACAAATCTACCTGGGAATCCGGATTTGTGTTTATTGTTGCATTTGTTACATTTTGTATAGGTTGTTGTAATGATTCTACTGGTGGAGGTGTTGGAGAAGTTATAATTCGAAGTTGTCGTCGGGGTGGCCCTGGGGATTGCTCATTGTTTGGTCTACGTCGATTATTTGAATTAGAGCTTGTACGTGGCATAATTCTAATCTTCTGAAATAATAAAAGTATAAATTTTAAATTAATTAAATCAGACTGGAACATGGGTACAATATTATAGAAATGCTTGCGGATATCCGTCTGTATCCGCCGTAAATATCCGGATACCAAAATCAGTATCCATGTCTAGTCTGAATTAAATTAAGCGATTTTGTATAAGTAAAAAATTTTAAATAAAAATAATGATGAAAATATTTTAATGAAAAAGGTTGATTAAATTATTTGTTTTAATTGGAAAAAATTTTTTTGTTGAAATGGCTAAAAAAAAGATTTTATCTACAACATTCCTCTTTTGTTTTGTTCCCTTTTAAAAGGAAAGAAAAAAATTTTTTGAGTCCTTAAAAATTAAGTCCTTAATTTTTTATCAATTAACAAAATTGATTAATTTAGGTGTCATTCGACTAGGTTCGTCAAACTCTTCCGAATGAGATCACATTTGTATTTTCTAAAGAGTTTTGAAACCTTACCCTAGTGAATTACCGACATTCGAGTTTTAAACATAATACGACTAACAAAGAAAGTTTACAATAATATTTATATAATATCTATAAATTTACTTCAAGTTTCTCTGACAATACACTGCTCAACGCAGCAGCAAAGTTCTTCCCACTTCCACAAAGAATAATAACACGTCCACTAGTCATGTATTCACAACCATGATCACTAACACCTTCGATGCCAGAAGTAGCACCAGAATTACGCACTGCAAAACGTTCTCCAGCAAATCCTCGAAAGAATGCTGTCCCTATAAAAAATTTAAAACTTAGAAATTGAGAAAATTTTTAAACCAGAAGTTGAGCCATAAAGAGCCACATTTCCAATTATTGTATTTTCTTCAGAAGCATAATTAGAATTTTTGTATGGCCGAATTATTATTTCACCTCCAGAAAGGCACTAAATTAAGAACAAAAATAACAGAAAAATTAATTCCCAACCTTTCCAACATAATCATTCGCCTCACCCTCCAATCTGACAGTGAATACTTTTGCCAAAAAAGCACAAAAACGTTGTCCAGCGGATCCTTTTAAATTAATTTCCAATGAATGCCTCTCAGGCAACCCTTCTTCTCCATAACGAATAGAAATCTTTAAAAATATTTATAAATTTTATTAATTATTCAAATACCTCGTAGCTAGGCCGGGCCCCAAAACAACGGTTTATATTGCCTATTATTCTTTCTTTGAGACTCACTTGTTTGATTGCTGACCTAATATTATTGTCTTTGGATTGATCCTTCCGATAACGTTCAGGTCTCTCACCACCTTCTCCTTTGTTGGATTTTGCACCGATCTTATTCATAGCAATCACTAATGATGTATAAGCTTCCATACTTATAACCCTAAACAAACACTTTTAAAATGGTTTGAGACATTTGAAAACAGTTACATGGAAAAAAGTGAATTAATCTCTTATTACTTTAACGCAATGTTAACACCAAATTAAATCAAAAATAAAAAGAACGAACCCGAAAGACATTGCTCCAGTGACAAATCTTTTCACAATTTCTGATGCCGGTTCAACTTGATCCAATGGAATTTGAAGTTTAGCGTTTGTTTTAATTTCCAGTTGACCACGAAGGCTGCAAAGACGTTGAGCAAGATTTGAAGCTATCGCAAAATCTTGATAACTCTTGGCATCATTTAAACGAGCAGCAGCCTTTAAAAGTAAAATTTAAGATTTCTTTAGAATTTATAACCTGAAGTTTTGCTATGTTAACCTCATTGACATGTTTTTCTCCACCATCGCGCCAATGATAAATTTCAGGACTTAGGAAAACTTTGCTATCACCTTTTAAAAAATATAAAATTAAGCTCTGAGTTTTAAGCAAACCATAAAGGTATAAATCCCTATTTGGTACATTTGGATAGGCGATCCGATGTCTTCGAATTGCCTCCATTACCAAAGTTTCAAAATCAGCAACGCCAAGCCGAAACAAAGAATTAGTAAAGCATTTGTCAACAACTTCACGCCCCAGTCCAACAATTTCAAAAATTTGTGCACCCTATGCAAGAAACGAATTTAAGAAAACAAAAAATTTTATACCTTGTAAGAGTGTAAAGTACTAATTCCCATTTTTGCCATCACTTTATAAATGCCTCGTTCAATTCCTGCTTCATACCCTTGTACACCAGCATTCTCTGTCAGATTTTTATCCAAAAGTCCCATTGTTCTAAGTCTATAACAAGTCTCATATACCATATAAGGACAAATTGCATCAGCACCAAATCCAAGAAGAACACAAAAATCTAAATAAAATTTGAATGACTCTTAAAGATAATTATTAAACGCACCGTGAACTTGCTTTACTTTACCAGACTGATATATATAATAATTTATTGCACCATGAGCAAGAAGCGCACTGTACAAATTTTGCTTTTTTTAAAAAACACAAATTACCTAATTGGAACGTAATCTTTGTCAACTTGTCTATCAGAGAGAATTAAAATTTGATAACCGTCTAGAGCTTCTGAACAAGCCTCACTAAAAATAAAATTCCTAAAAAGGATCAAGCTGCTAAAAAATATACTTGCATATTCTGTCTAAAGCTGCCACCAAACCTCTCTGCCCATGTCTTGCTTGATAAACAATATTAATTACATATGAACGCCATCCCAAGTCATAAATTAACTAAAAAATATCAAAAATTTCTAAAAATCAAAATTTAACTTGTGCGAGATCATCAAAAATGTAAATGCCATGATAAAGAGGAGAGATGAGTCTAACTTAAAAGATAGTTTAAATTAGAACCCAGCACGGAACGTGACCCCATACGGGATTTTCGGGATCCCGTCCCGGAATCCCGGGTTTTTGGCGACAAACGGGATTACTGGATTTACGGGATTAATCCTGTGGAATCCTGTCCCGGTCGAATTTTGAAACACAATCCCGTTCCGGGATCCCGGGAATGCGATTTTGAAGGTTTTCCCGTTATAATTTATAAAGCTAAACTGAACAAACCTCCATGAGTTGATTTTCTTGTAGCGGCAATTTCTCTCTTTACTTTGTAACCAGGAATTTCACCTGAAATTTGAAAAAAAACAATTTGATTTTACAAAGAAAAACAAAACCTCCGTCGCCCAGCTTTGCTCCCTGAGCCATTTTTATTTGTACTTCAACGGAATTTGCCAGATAAGAGCTATATATCACGATTAAAATTCATATAACTAAAAAATCCGACCTGTTAACACCAAAGCTGGCCGAAGCTACCATTTGTTGCGAAATTTAAAGGAATGACCCGTTGATGGGCACACAGGCAAAAAGCTGTTGGAAATAGGAAAGAAAAGTCACAGGAAGGATCGATTGACGGGCACCCGCGCAAAAAAACTGTTGAAAATAGAAAAGCAAAAGTAGTGGCTTATAGTAGCAGAAAGGAGAGAAGATTTGTTTGTTTGTTGTCTCTGCTCTAACTCTACAGCAGAGAAAGAAAAGAATTACTGCAGAAGCGAGAAAGTTTTTTAGCAGAAAAGAGAAAAGATTTTACAACAGAAAGGAGAGTAGAGTTTTTTGTTTGTTTGTTGTCTCTGCTCTACCTTTTCTCTGTCTGTGGGGGGTGGGTGATCAGCTTAAGTTAAATTATAATTTAAATTCGTTCAGCTACCCGGTGGCCGGGTCGGTAGTGTGCCCGCCTTTAGGCAGGAGGGCACAGGATCGACCCGGCCACTGGAAAATTAATTTATTAATTTCGTTTTTAATAATGGCCTTTTGACTTTTGGGCGTTTTAACTTTTGGGCATTTTGTCGCGTGGCATTTTGTCGCGTGGCATTTTGTCGCGTGGCAATTTGTCGCGTGGCAAATTGTCGCGTGGCATTTTGTCGCGTGGCATTTTGTCGCGTGGCGTTTTGTCTAGTGAGAAAAGGTATGGATTACGTCATCCTTATTTTCTCTGCCCGTCTCTTCAGGGGCGGGGCGATAATCAATCAATAAAAAGAAAGGGATGTTATAGTAGTAAGTAGATTCAGTTTGATTCAAACTAAATCAAATAAACAATTTTAATATAATAAGAACCAAACATGAATAAAAAAAAGTAACCAGTTTTGTAGAGAAAATATGTATTGTACTGAAATACTGAAATAATAATATAGAAATAATAAGTAACGTGTGTGGCTCTAAATATTAGCTAAAATAACATGAATAAATTTCGTGGATAAACCAATTAAACTTATTTATTTTCAGCCTATTCAACAAAAGATTGGTTGGTTTTTATTTTTATTAATTAATTTATTTAAAATTTAGTATCCAAAATTAAAGTGGGTGCTGACATTAATTTAATGAAAAATGAAGGAATAAATAATTTAAATTCTAAAATTATTTTTAAAAGAAATAATAGTGATCCTTAAATTTTTGATTAAAAATATTTTGACATTTTTTTTATTTTAATTAATGCCCTCACTTTTTAATAATTATCAAGTTATTGAGTTGATTAATTTAAAATTACATAGATTTATAGATCTATTGTTTGGTATATAAGTAAAGATTATAAGTAGATGTTAGGTATGTGTGGGTCTAGTATAAAAGTAGTCGTTAACGATCAGTCTCGGTCGACTCCAGGGTCGACGGCGCCGACTGTCCTTAGTCATTCTGCTTTTGCCACCTTCATTATTATTGTATTTACCATTCGGATAAACGCCATATTCTCTTATTTTGTTTGTCACTGGGTAAGACCGCTGCATAGAATATAACAGTAGAGAGAGCTTTTTTTAGGTTTTTACTTTTTTGCGAACTAGTTTTGATGAGATAAGCACGAAAAACACTGTTTTGCGTCGAAATAATGAGTCTATATTGGACCTATTCGGACCTAAATAACCTATTTCGGCCTCTTTTCGAACTTATTTAGGTAACTATATTCGTTTTTTCGGACTTAAGAAACTCTCTAATTATAAGTTAGCACTTTATATAACGTTAATTAATTATTAGCATTGAACACTGTTCAAGCTTCCAAAAAATATAGAAACAACAAAAACACAAACACAATATCTCCAAAATATTTCAAGTACTTATCAAACCAAAAAATTCAATTAATTAATATTTATGATCCGCTAATTTAA